AGCTGGTTCTGTTGTTCTTCAGGACAGAGAAAGTGAGACTGAGTCATCAAAGAACCCAACTCGGAGACGATCAACGGATTCGAACAGGATTTCAGAGCAAAATCAATACTTAAAAGAGCCAGAAATCAAAAAACCCAAGCTGGGTAACTCAGCAAGTCCGAGGCATCAGGGGTTGAGCCTGAACCAGTAAGTTCGATCTCAGACACCACTCCAGAAGAAGATGTTGCTTATTGTTTGATGTTGTTGTCAAGAGATAGATGGAGGAGAGGGAAAGATGATCAAGAACAGGAACATGAACAACTTGAAGAAGATCAAGAGGAGGCAAAGAACTCCATTGATGATCGTTCTGAGGATTCTGATTTTCATAAAGCAAGAAGGTCTCGGGCTCGAGGCAAGTACAAGTGTGAAACTTGTAACAAAGTGTTTAGATCATACCAAGCACTTGGTGGTCACAGAGCAAGTCACAAAAAGATCAAAGCAATTAATATTAATAGTTCTTCAGCACAAGAACAAAGTCCAGAGGAGAGAGAAAATGTAGGTAATTCTACAATGGTGGTGGAGAAAATCCATGAATGTCCTGTTTGTTACAGAGTGTTCTCATCTGGTCAAGCACTTGGTGGGCACAAGAGATCACATGTTCTTGGTTCAGGAGCAACTACTACCATTACTGTTGCTTCAAAATCATTCTCTAAATTTGGTGAAACTTTGATAGATCTTAATCTTCCTGCTCCAATTGATGATGATGATATCAGCCAAATCGAGCTTTCCGCAGTTTCTGATGCTGAATTTATCAACCCAATTAAACACTGAACCCTGAAAGTTGAATTTTTTGCAACCAACGATGATTCAGAGGTAAATTTTTGTTGTTCTTCATATTTATGGATCTAGAGGCCATATCATTATGTTTTTTGGACAATTGGGTCAATGGGTTTTTCTCTATATTCAACATATTCTCATTCATAATCTGACTGTATTTGATTTCTTTTGAATTGGTTATATTGCAGTAATAGCTGATTTAGAACATCCATTAATAGAGAAACTTCTGGGAAATTTTTTTTTGTTCATTTCATTCCCAAATTCATACTCAAATAGTTTTCTGTTCCCATGAATTCCAATGGTATTCAATTTGTTCAAATTGTTTATCACATTTTTTTTGTTTGGGATGAAGGAGGAGGACCCAGCATTGTTGTTAATAGGGCTGAGATTGAACCCGGATTGGGCTTGGCTCGGCTCAGTTCGTAGAAAACTCACGCTCGAGTTCGACTTATATTTTAAACGAATAATTTTATAGATTCGTGTAAAAGCTCGATTCGATCTCCTAAAGCTCGCTCATTTGTATAAAATAATCGACTACTTAAGCTGACTCATATTTTAAACGAGTTGAGTTTGAATAATTTTTTAAATTTTTTTTAAAAAAACGAGTTCAACAAATTTGATTTAAACTCACAAAACTCGGCTCGATTATCAGGACTATTATTAAAGGGGTCTGATCATAGATTCCACCTGTCCCAGCTAACTATTTTTCCTCAATGGTCTTTTCTTTGGTAAAAGTTGCAGTCTTTTAAAGAAGATGACCAAGAGCCAAATTTAATTTCTATTATTAGAAAATAACTTTCACCTGTCAGTATTGTCGTTGCACAGTTGGTGAAGCAGAAGCGACTAATTTTCTCTTCTCTTTTTTTTTTTTATTATAGTTAGGTAGCTGATCAAAGCCAGGTAATTTATGTTAGAATTAGAGAATCATAAGGAATAAATCCTTAATTTTGATTGCAAAGGAGTTGTCTTGTAACCAAGTTTCGAATTCACAGTTTACTATTCATTTTTATCTCCACTCAAACATTTCTCTTTTTTCTCTCTCATGCATAAACAACTTTCCTCGTGAAAAATATTAGGTGTAACAGTGAAACCACGTCTTCTAAACTTTGCCCCTAGATCCAAAATGAAAGTAGGGAGAGATAATTTATTTAGTGACCAAAATATCCTCCACAAAACATTTAATTTACATTAAATTCTCTTTCCATAGTTAGAAAATCTTGAAGAGAGGACAGATAGAAAGTGCCAAATCCTTGTTTTAACTGAGGAAATCTTTTTCTTTTGCTTTGGCATGACCAAAGAATCTTGGTCATGCAACCCTACAGAAAGTATATTGAAAACTTCATTCACATAACTATTTTAATAGGGATTAATTCGTCTTTTCACTAACAAGGGCCCTCATTAATGGATAATGAAGGGTGATATTGTGACTAAATCATCACTTAATCTGTTAATCCACTTTCTTTTGGTTAGAAAGAATAAAAGTGAAAGTAAGAAAATGATGAGAAAGAGAGAAAAATGAAATTTTTAGTATGTATTTAGTTAGAATAAGAATTTTACAAGAAAGTTACACGGAAAATTTTGTGGTTTAAAAAGTATGAAAGTTACGAGAGTTTTTTTTTATTCGTTTTAATTGTCCATACTAGACCTTTTAAAATGATTGACCAATCAAATAGCTAAAAAAAAAAAAAGAAGGGTAAAATGGGAACCAAAATGTTACATCACTATTTCTTTGTGTTTCCGTAAGAAAAAAGTTAGTTATTTGTAAAAAAATATATAGATACAAGAAAATTAATTTTTTTTTATTTTTTATTTCATGTTAACCAATCACATGAAAAATTTTAAAAATTAATTTTCTATCATTTTTCTTGTCGTTCAACTAGAGCCAACACAAGAGGGATATATTGCTAGTTAAAGTTGATAATCAAGTCTGTTGAGCTTTTTTTTTTAAACGAATTTATATAATTGTTCAAATTTGGCTTGTTTAAAAAAGGAGCCGAGCTCAAATAACTCGTTTATTTTACATGTAAACGAATCAAACTTTGCAAGTTCGAATCGAGTTTTTTTAGGCTTATTTTCTAAGTGAATCTAAAAAATAGTTTGAGTCAAGTTCTATCCAAACCGAATCTGAATAGCTTTAGGTCCTATCCGAATTGAGCCCGAGTTACTTTATGTTCATATTAAAGTTCAAGAATTTTGGTTTTAGGAATTCTTTAATATTTAATGGAATTTCATGAATCTTGTTTTTTTAGGAATTCTTTAATCTTGGGTAGCAAAATTTCCACTTAACTGTATTTATTTTGAATTGCACCTTATGCTTAAATCTCACAAATTACATAGGACCCATACTAAACTTTTAGTTCTATAACATTATCAAAACTTGGGCTTACGATCGATTTGTCGAGATAAGCGTGGCGGTGAAGCATTCGTCACGTAATTTTTATTTTATCACTATTGATGGAGGAGAAAGTATTCGAATTTGGATTGCCAAAGTTGTCGCATATGATCGACAATTCGCCATTTGGATATAAATGAAGTTGGAATCTATTCCCATTTGGATATAAGTTAGCAAAGTTACATGTCAATTTGAAAAGTTTCATTACATTTACTGGATGTATTATGCTTTGCTTCAGGTCAAAATTATCATACTAATATTCGGTCCAGAATGTAAATAAGATTCTTTCCCTATCTTGCTTTTTCACAAGAAAAGAAAAGGTTAAAATAAAGTGCAAACATACCTACAAAATGAGCTCTAGTGCTAGAATATACCACTTTTCCCCCTTTCACACTTCAATTTTTATGTTTTTTTCCCCTGATGAGTTGATGTGGTGAGTTAGGCACTCAATTTTAGTGTGTTATGATCATAATTGTCCCACACTATGAGCTTGACTATGTTTGAATAAACCCTTGGACACGTTTCTATTACTCTTCAATTTTTAAGATTGAGTTCTACCAATATAACATGATCATTTGGTATCAAAGTTTGGCATCACGTTGGTTATAGAATAAAACACAACATATAACATGAGATTCTAAGGGCGATGTATAGACTATAATATAAGCCAAATGGTCACGTTGTTGGGTTAGTGTCAATAGAGTGGCCGTGAATCAATTGTTGAAGCATGGTGTAGCATCCCACCCCCACCATCAAGATATTGTCTACTTTGGGCTGCCTCTCACGATTTTGTTATTCTAGATTTTTGCCTAGAAAATGCCTCTTGATAGTTTAGGCAGGAAAACCACAAATATAGCTCAAGAACTTTTCCTCTCCAAGCGACGTAAGATGGGGCACCTGGCACTTGTAGCACCTCACCACACTTAACTTGAGCTATTGACCATGTTGGCTACTACACGTAGAGTGTATATTATGATCCTAATTATCCCACATGTATCTAACTCTTAGACACCGTTTTTGTTAGTTGATTTTCAAAAGTTTGTTCTCATGAGTTCATATATCACAGTTGTTGTGAGTGAACTTTCACCCACAACCACCATTTGGATTCTTTGTTCATTTCAAATGTGGATATGTCATCCTCATGACAATCTTTCCTTGGGTCTTAAAAACCCACCCCATTTCACTCTCTTTAAATGCTGATCTAATCAGCCAAGAAAAACATTACCAAAGAGGCTAAGAACAGTAACACAGGTAGGACAGAGTTTGGTTGGCTGGCTTTTATGGTTGGGTGTGGGAGGTCTTGAGTCGGTAGGTCGGCACTTTGTTTCTTTCAAAAGGTTAAAAGAGAAAAGAAACCAAAGGACGAGGGGTAAGGTCTTGTGAGAGTGAGTGCCACTTCACATTTTCTCTCTCACACACCAAGTGGTGGTCTGGTGGGTGAAATTTTTTTCCTTGGCATTGTTGAAGTTTTTTGAAGAAAAAGAGAAACAATAATGCTATTTGAATCTTAAGGGGTAGTTCAATTGATAATAAAGACGAGCTGCAAAATCAGACATCCTGAGTTTGAATTTTGAATAATTTTTTGAGTCAGGTCATGAGAAATTTATTTTTTATGATCTTAACATAGAAAATTATACATAAGTCTGAATATCAAACTAAAATCTTTAATGAATTTTCTATAAAATCCTGCATGACCTAGAAAGATTGAACATCCTTTATAGTCTTAGGTAGAGGAAGATTGATTATTAAATTAATTTTAGTCTTGTAAACTTCAATCCCCTCTATAGAAACTGTGATTCTTATGCAGACTTAAGACTTCAAAAAGAATGAGTCAACAATGATCTTTTACCGTCTTTTTCTCTTCAAAGTTCTAACTTAGACTACACCATCATCATCAACAATATCATCATTGAACAGCACACCTTGTTTTCCTTTATTTTTCTTTATTTTAGAGAACATCAATATATACTTGAATTAGAATCCACTTCATTACCAAATTTTCTCGATCCCTTCAATGTTAAATCAATCATCGTATATTAGTGAGAGACCAACTCAAATATGGAGAGTTCCACCTAGAATTATAATGGGTGGTCTAGCAATGAGAACATTTGATAACTTTGGAAAATTAGAGTGAATTTGGATTGGCACATTTACAAGTACAACGGGTGAAGAGCACTTCCTTGCTCTTTCTTCTTAATCTTTAGAGTTAGGTTCAAGTCACTAATAATGCCTATACCTTGGAAAAAAGTTCAATATTGGAAATAGATTGATTCAAGGAAATCAAGTACAAGTATAGAGGAGGGAAAGTGAGTTTTTAAGTTGAGACCCTTAAATCTATATTATTTCGTAATTGCTGATTGAAGAAGGAAATGTAGAATCTCATGAACCACGTCTTCCACTCCTGCCAAGTCCATATGGGACAAAGCCCACAAGGGGTTTTCACACGGGAAAAAAAACCGTTTTCTTCACTCTAGGAAATAGGGAGATAAAAGGAAATTAAACCTGATGGGAGCATTTATGTAACACCTTTAGATGTATATTGTAACTATTAAAATTGTGACAGTCAGTCTATTTCGTTCAATTTTTCATCAAAATAAACGAA